TTATCTTCACTATCTGTTAATGTCCTTGCCAAATTTTTATCTACGTCTATTCCAGCGGTCAGGAATTCGCGTTGGCATGGACCACCTCAATTCCCGACCCATGTTAACCTTGGAACTTCGGCTGTATGGCATTTTGTGCGAGTTGTTAAGTGCTGCTTCATGTGCTATTAATTTGTTCACAACGAGCGGCATGCAAGCTCTCTAGGCTATTTACTGAGCTGGTAACAGCAGCCGATGCTCTCTTATTTTTCGGCTGCCTTACTAAACCGAAGCTCAATTTTCACCTCCTAAGATAAAAAATTTTGCTAAAACACTGTTTTGTTTGTTTATTATGTATGCAATGGGTGTCATTTTTTCATTGCACCCTGAAATATGGCTCATAAAGGGTAAAAATATGTCAAAAGATGTGGCAAGTGTTGACGGTTTTAAGAATAACAAACGCTGACATTCACAGGTTGTTGCATAAAAATATTTCGATGTTTAAAAAATTCTATGTCCAATTTGTCTAAATATTTGCAGTGTACGTTGTGTTGGCTTTTATTAAGTTTAATAATCGCTCACGTGTTGATATGCTGGTTGTAAAATACGATCTTTTTCTTGAATATTCAATGATGATGTTTTCTACGCTTTTTATGCTTTAACAGAAATGGCTAATTTGGTTTATCGTTAAAACCTTAATTTTAATTTAGTGTCCCCATCTAAATTCAAAGAGTAAGTTAGAAATAATAGCAAACAATTAAGCTTTGTTCATTATATAGGTTTTGTGCGCTTCACATCCTCTGAATGCTCCCTTTTCGTATACCGTATTAGTTTTTTTCGTCGTCTTCGAAACCAACTTCCTGCCATCTCTTTCCTATCTTGCAAAGCAGTTTAACCCAAATATCAATACCACGTATGCCATTCCTTCTATAGGAGTTATCTATTAGTTCATTCTACTTGTTCACATTGACATCATGCATGCTGAACTAAATATACTGTTGCAAGTGATGAAAGCATATTAATGTTTACTTCATTGATCTAATATTCAAACAAATTTTCTCTCTATTTATCTTTTCAGAACATCTCCCTTGGACGACATCTATGGTGAAAAGATTCGCTGTGAATTTTTTTCGACATTATCCAGTGTCTATATTTATAATGCGTTTTATTCATTTCGTATTATTCAATTACATTTTATTCAATACTTGTATTCATAAACATTCTTGACATTCAGTTCACAATTCCGTTGCATTCATTACCCAGTCATGCCTTAAACGAATGACTCTAATAATAACCTCTAAAACACCGATGACGATGCAGCACAAGAATGCAACCGTATTTGTAGCCAAGTACGTTATTCGAAGAAATATCACTATTTATAATAATGAGCCTTATACATTGAGGTTATTTATGAAGGTTTTAGATGCAGCTAGGTTTAACGTTTACAGCATTATTTGTAGTGCGTTAATTTCGCAGGTATTGCATAATATTCACACCTGCATTTTATTATTGTATTTATTTTTTGTGTGAACGAGATAACGGATAATACTGGGCATCTTTGTAAACTATAACTTGAGAGCTATAGGCCATGCAAGCGATCGAAGAGAAGTTTGCAAGGGATTAATGAACAACTGGCCGGTATCTTCGGGCACATTTTATGAACGCTTGTATGAAATTTTTCTCGTTAGGAGAGGCCAGGTGTTAAGAAGCTCGATTAATGGGAGACGTTGACGGATGGAGCTATCGAACTATTGATTGGCGGCCATCCGCCTTTCAGCGGACTGATGGAGAAGATATTTTCTGTAAAATTGTCCGTTAAAAAGAGCGCCAGCGCCTTGCGCCTTGTAAAGGCTACGTCGCCTTGGCCACTTAACGTTCCCCAGAGAAGAAAACGCAGCCTGGAAAATGCCTTCCTCCGTCCAAAGCCCCTTTGAAACTCCTGCAATAATTTAGCTCCGTAACCTGACACCGTCGATAAGTCATTGCGTCGCTCTTGGTTATTTCTACGTTTTTATTGGCGACTTGGCTGCCGTAGAAACATAACGTATTTTATCGTTTGCTCAGTAATATATTTCTCTATTTTTGATTATGCATCATCAGTGAAATTTGGACTACTATGTTAGTAAGCATTTTACATGAAATAATTGTTACGTTCTGCCTATATATGCATTTAAGAAATTCACAATTATGGTAAAAAGCGAAAGGGCATGAAGCTCTCTGCCCTCCGATTTAAACTGAATCTTTCCTTTATGATGACAAAAATAGATATATTGATCTATAGTAGCCTTGAACATGAACACGACTTTCGTGTCTCAGAAATAAAATGTACGAATTGCTTATCTTACAGGCGTCAAATGGTGTAAGCCCTCGCCTACCTGCACCATGCCACAATTAATAAACTAACTTAGCAATAGCAACTGCAGAATTCGGTGTGCTGCAAGCTGAGGCACAAATGCTGGTGCTATTAGCCTCTACTGCTTGGAATTAGCAAACGTCGTTTGAATGAAACTCTGCATTAATTCCATGGTTTTGGATCTCCCTTGTGGTAAATGGCGACTGAATCTCGTATTACTTTTCTTCAATTATAGAATATTGTGCATGTATATGCTGTTTATTTAACCGCTAACCTGGGCTTTTAAATCGTATTATTCCAGCTCATAATGCTCCTGTGGGAAATTAAAATCGTTAATTCAGTCTCTAATTTATTGTTCACTAATGCAGAGGGTCATAATATTAATTGGTCGCAGAGCTACCAGCTCTTGGTCGTCTTGTCCTTGGGTTGCACGGAAGGAAAGGCTTAACATTGATTCAATGCAAAGGTGTCTGATTGCACAAAAAATAAGTCAGACCCTTTTCTGTCGCTACCCGTCTTTTGAATTGCATTACTCGAACAAAGAATAAATCTTGCAAATAGATTACCGTATAGAACCCTAACCTTTAAATCCTTTTCTTCGTGTAATAATAATATGCGCTGCAAGATTTCATCTTCGTCTTTGCATTGTACAGAGAAGTGGCCTTTAGCATTGAACTCGCGGTATCTGTTGGAGACACAACGGCACTAGCGGTCACATCGCATGGCTTGACTAATGCTCGTCTCAGTCACTCGTCCAGCTGTCCCGTATCAAGCTTCTCTACGACGACTGCGTTCATTTTGTATTCCCTAGATGCAACCACGCATTCATCACAGGCTATGCTACCCTTGACTCGCTTCTCAGCCGGAGTTTGAGCTTTCGCTTTCACTCAGGTCTCTGTCTTTTTAAACTGCCCATGCGAATAAATTTTTTCATATTGCATAGTATGCCTCTCTCATTCTCTCTCAATTTAACTTCTATTTGTTTTTATCAAATGTTTATGCCAATATGAGTTATCCACTAACGTCAGTGTTTTTCTATAACCTTAACTGGCGGAGATTTAATCAATTCTGTTTACTTCAACCTGTGAACGTTCGCTAAAGTTACGTAAAACCTTTTCTGTGGATTTTCTTGCAATAAAAGAGATTTTTTTGTAGTGCTTTATCATTGCCTGTTTTTGACGTGTTAGATCGTATACCCACCAAACTTTCTTGTTTGCGAAACCCCTTCTACTCACTATAAACGTCCCTGCTGCTCATTTTTATTGCCGTTTCCCTTCCGCTTTGGGTTAAAAAGTCGCACAATACCGCAAACTTCAACTCGAAGTGGCCGAAATTGCTTTTCTGCTTTGATCTTTTCGATGCCGACCCTCTAATCGGACCCTTGCAGTTGTCACTCACGGCTCCGGCAGCTAGGGCTCTTGAAGCTTAGACCTCTACAGTAAAGTGTCCTTCATCTATCAGATAATAAAACCATTTATTTATCCATAAAAACAGCTATATTGTAATGTAATAACGAAAGTTTGTTCTTAAAAAAACACTGCGTTAAAACAAAACAAAACAAAAAACGTTATCACTGCGATCCCAGAGCATATCGAAAGCAGATTTGTCGTTCAGGAAATCGAATAGTAAGGATTCGAGAAGCAAAGTCTTCCATGGTTGTAAAAAATGAAGCAGACTTCGTGTACTATGGATGTAAATTTCTTGATGTAATCTCTCTTTTTTTGCTTATTAAGTTAAAAAATGAGTGCCATAAAATACTTTGGTTGATTTTATCATCCAGGCTACCTTAATGTAATGCGCTGGTCATCAGCAAGAGTAGATGAGTACCTCTTCACAACCTTTTCGAATGGTTCCAATGAATTTATAAAAATTATTTTGACGCGAAACACGCAAGTCGAAGTACGTCTATGATGCCGTAAAAATTCACTTGAGTTACCTGATGTGTGCCTAAACATCAGGTAACTCAAGTGAAACCCAAGTAGGCACACAAAAAAGTTGATGTGTGAATGCACTTGTTATTCTTCCAGTTGCTGATAGAAGGAAATACAAATCATTCATTCTCAGTTTTTCTTTGTGCGTATAAATTATACGGGTCATAAATCAAGTACCGCGGCTTCCGCTGCAGTTCCAGTTCACTAAATCGCGGCAACATTTTTTTTGAGGAGGGGCTATATTCAGACTTGTGATATTGTGCTGTCGGTTAAATACAGTTCTACATTTCTATTTCTCTGTCGTATAACGCATATAAATAGTTATATGCCTACAAAAGTGCTTGCTGTAGTTATTGAATTGTAATTATTTTAATGAATTTATGAAAGACTCAAAAATGGACTCACCATTTGAATGAAGTAAAAATTCTTTTATTATAAATGCGTTTTTCATGTCTGTTATTTGCCTGAAGTCGAAAAGTTTTCCAAATAATGAGTTTGGGAATCGTTTTCCAAGTGCAATATCGGTCGGGAAAAATTTTGATTCGTAATAAATTATATAAGGAAAGCTCAATGTCCTGTAGAATTATGTAAAATAAATAGTGTCGATGTTTGATTGTTATTCGATATAGTTATCTTCGTATCGAAATTTTACGTCATTTTAAGTGAAATAATGTAAGATTAATTCTTCTTATGAAAAAGCGCCAATAAGAAACGTGACTGACAGCGAGCCTCGCTAAATGCGGATCTCATTGAGGGCGACTCCACTGAGGGCGGACCCCACTGAAGGCGACCCCACTGAGGGCGACCCCACTGAGGACGACCCCACTGAGGGCGACCCCACTGAGGGCGACCCCACTGAGGGCGGACCCCACTGAGGGCGACCCCACTGAGGGCGACCCCACTGAGGGCGGACCCCACTGAGGGCGACCCCACTGCTGTCTCTTATACACATCTAGATGTGTATAAGAGACAGGTTCTACTTCTCTGCACGATGATTTAAATCATCAATAACATGCTTAAATTTCATTTACATTTGTAAGAATATGATGATTAATTAAAGTAATTATTTTGACATAATTAAAATTATGGGGTCGATTCGAAATATATGTAACGATTATCTTGAATAGGTACCGTACATGACTTAAACTGGAATTATTTTGGATTTTCTTTTTGCGGACGTGCAATGTTCATCAGTATTTGCATCATAGGCGTTTATATGTGTAAGGTAGCAAGNGTTCGCATGAACGATGTCAATCGATTGCTTTTAGGCCTCAACGTCCTCTCGTTAGCCTCAGGAAGTTACTATTATTTTCCCAAGGCTGACTTCACAAAGACTTCGTGATGTTTTTCTTTGATGTTTCATCGAAGCATTTGCGCTGCAATTTTCTGGTACAAAATTCCACGTAAAAGTGTGGGCAGAGGTGAGCTTTACTGAACAAAATATAATGAGAAGCATAAAAGCTTTGCGCTGAAAGCGAAAAAAAATTTTGCTCAAAGCGAAAACATTTTGCGAAAAATTTTCATCATGATATGCAGTTGGTTACTTTACTGGGCTACAGGCTATGAAAACTTTTGGGAATTAAAGCTAATAACCTAAGAAAGTATAACTGCTGGTTCACTCGCCTATTTTTATGTGATGTTTATTTAGGAACATCACAAGTGATAGGCTTTATCGTTCTAATTCATCACTTGTGATGAAATCGGGCCATTAATTCCGAGTTTTACGTAATTCTAGAAGAAAAATTTGCTCATATTTATACATATTTTTACTATTTTATTCTCAATAAAGGCTGGTGCGCATTTTTATGGTGCTTTCCAATGGTGCGAGCGGCTTGCATAGTTTACAGCAAGTATCTTCATATATCTTAATAAACTACTTGTTTGCTCTCGGGTTACATTCACTTCCTGTTTATTTGTGCACACAAATATTTGTTCATAATTTCATTCTAAACTCTTTAGTGCGCGCTCTTCACTTTCATGCACGCTTCACGAATTTAGCTGGTTTCATCATTCATTGAATAGGATCGGTATGAGTTCTAATCCTCGTCTGACTTTGATAGGTTCCAGCGAGTCGGTCATAAATTGAGTTACTAGTTTTAATCTTGATCTAGTGTTAGATGCTGGGCCTTTGTGAGAATGAATATTTTAGGTAAAAACTATTGTGTGTATGCTTTGTCACTGTGATGAATTTGACGGCGATGCTTGCTTTACACTGCAGAGAGCAATGCATGTCGCTGGAATATGTTTGTCACTGCCTTGTTTGTGTGCTCTTATTGCGTCGATAAAATCAGTCCCTAGATTCAATCGAGAGCGAAGTTTATTTATTTATGCGCTGCAATATCTTCGTCGTCTTGCGATGAAATTTCAATCCCCCTAACATTCGATGTTGATTTTATGTGTGTACCTAAGAGCTATTCCCACTCTTATAATTTTTTGTACGCGTGTCCATTCAGAGAACTTACGTGTGTTGCTCGTGGCCTTGCTTTGCTGTGTGAAGAGCTTGCGTTTGCGTGCTTAATTTTAACGTATAAATTTCTGTGTTATTTTTATGACGATTTTACTTGGTTCAATTTTATGTTTATTCATTTTAGCCTCGGGAATTTTATCTTTTTTAACGAAATATTCTGTTTCTATTTTCACCCAATTATTCACCAGAACATATAAGTTTAAAATCGTTCTTCGTACGTCACAAATCAGGTGAATCGCTTGTCTACACTTCTAATTGCACTAGATTAGTATTAGTGAAATATAATCTATTTTGGACTTTCATTCCCCTCAATATTGACAGTTGTTTTATGTCAAATTTTGCTATCGTTCACCAATGGGCGATATTTTTTTTTATTATAAATAATTTATAAAATCTATGCCAAACAACACTTCGCTGTGACCTTCACGATAAAACTTTTTTCATAAACTCGTCACCTGGATCTGGAGCATGTGAGGCACTGATCTCGAGGCAAATGACTTTGAAATAACGTTGATTACGAGTTGCTTTTGTTGGTAAAACATTGAATAACTTTTTTTCAACGTCAGGTGTCTGATGTGTAAAGTGTGATCATCTATTGAGCAACCCATGTCAACGAGCCGGTTTGTAATTAACGAATTGTTGAAAGATTAGCAAATTATTTTTATTTTTATCTATCAAGGAGTTGTTATGCTATTTCCTTTTCAAGTTCTATGGAATAAAATATGCTATATAATAATATAAATTTTTTCTAATCAATTGAGGCGACTAAAAACCTAGAATAAAAGGCGACTATGCTCAATCTTAGTTGAGGAAATCAAAACCTCATCAGTTCTTAACGTTCAGTTTTTTGGCATGAAAGTCAATCTGATCAAAAAGTCTTCATTTTTTGGCATCATCAACGTCATGGGAGTTGAGCTTCCATGATTCGGACTCAAGATAAGTTACGCAAAAAGTCCACTTTGAAATAAGTCAAGGAAGTGAGAGGACCAATGGCCCGTACTTCACTAAATGATTTTTTTCACCGCACATGAGCGAGGGGAAGAGGAACCTTGGCTTGAGATTAGAGAGCTAAGGCGCATGGTTGGCTTTTGCAACATTTCCATCACTCACGCCTACATAATGAATTGCCTCTCCACTTCTGTTGAGCGTCATAAAAAAACGTATGCGAGTCATGACAATATGTTGGCTCTGCCAATTAACCCAGTGGCTTCTTGTTTTCATGCCACACATTTAAATTTATCTGCATTTTTTTCTTATTAGAAATGCAGGAATTATGTTCATGCACGTTTTCGTAGTATAACATTTCGAAAGATTGGCAGAGCGCATTTGACCTATTCTTCCTTCTCTGTTCTTTCGAAAAATCATGCCGCTGTTCCTGACACTTTTTGTAACTATTCATAATTTGTACTGATTTTAAATTTTATAGTGGCAATAATATTTATTTCCGTGACAAAGATGATTTATCGACAGTCGAAGACACTAAACTGATCAAAATCTTGAAGTGTTTGACATTTAACAGTAACGACCCTAGAAATTCATAAGGGACTTCACCCTTTGTTTGGAATGAAAACAAATGAAGGGAAGGATCGTTAAACTCCGTTGTGCTAGTCTTGGTAGAATTAATAATGTTTGAGAAACGCTTGTGTTAATTTACTCAGTCGTGTTCTTTTTGCCTCCATATTATTGCAGTGTAATGGAGAAAAATAACTGAGCAAACGGATATTTTCAAAGTAATAACTCAATATTTTATGTCTCCGAGGACATTATGTGCAAGTCGTTTCCACTATGTTTTCCTCAAATATTATATTTTGCCTATTTCATATGAAGTGCAAATGAAAAATGTTGTCAATAATCAATGGAAACTAAGTGTTGATATATCAGCCAGGTAAATGATTTCTGTAAAAGCCTCTTCGTCGCCTATGACCTTAGGCAGGAAATAGATCATCTGTTCTTCTAAGTTCCATGACTTCACATGTCAATAAATAATCAAAAATAATCAATTATTCATACCATGAGCAGGATTTTTTCCCGTCGTTGTACGGCATAAACGCAAAGGTGGATGTGTGGATGCATTTTCTTCCCTGTGAATGCGCGAAAATTACGAGTTTTTCCGGGGCGCCATCTCTTATAGTGTATAATTCATTTCAGGCCTTGCTGATGTGATTAATAAGCTGGCGAGATGGAGCTTCTGATAGCCAATGCCTGACCTTTGCTTCAGCGATGTTATCATGCCCATGGTGACAAATTCTCTCCAGGCCCTACTATTCCTTGATTAAATCTTGCGTGCATAAACTCCTTGACATTTATTGCCTTCATTGATGATAAGCATTCCGTAGTCGGCGTCTTAGGGACTTCATAGGGTTTAATTTAGATTTTTTTTGTTCGGGGTTGAACTTCTGATTATTTTCGTGTCAAAAGATATCTTTATTTATGGATTTTACCGATTGATCTCAAAATGTGTTATATTTCTATGCTATTTTAATGAAGATATGGCCATGTTGGGACTTGTGCTGTCAACATATCGTCAGTCATGACTGACATATACCATTTAAATGAAAAATTGTATGGACTTAAACTTTTTTTAAGAGTATCGTCTTAAATAGTTTCGAGTTTATTGCATGTTTTATTTTATTTGTTTGTATATATTTTTATACGATAATTTTTTTGTACCCAATTCATTCAGCTATGTGGAACATTTAAATACAAAATTTCGATTGTTGTTTAAGCTCAGTTTCGAAGATCCCTATTTTCGAAGATCCCTCGTTTCGAAGATCCCATTTTTCAGTTTCAAAGATCACTATGATGATTTCTGTTTTTCATTGTGTTTGTTTAGTTTGTGTAGTTGAAGTATGTTAGTTTCATTTTGTAGCGACTTTATTTTATTAGTATTTAGACAGCGAAGTGAGCCCTTGTGCTGGACCGTATGGTTCGTGCGTGTCTCGTTCTGCCGCTCCCTTGCCGCCTCGTCTCACGAGGGCTGTTGGCTATTTACGAGACTCTGGATGAGGTGCTGTAAAAAGAGGGAACTGCCCTCTTTTGGGATGCCGATAGCATCGTCTACAGTCGCCTGGTAAATTGTGAAAAGAGATAAATTGACCCAGGGATGAGATCTGGTCTGGCATCTCTCATATGATTGTTGTTCCAGCTCACTCCATGCATGACAATGACGCTCAAGTAGAAGGTTCGTTTGGATGCCTGAAGCCATTTTATGCTGTGTCACAACAGCCGGGGTGACTACGCTAATTGAACTTCTGAGTGCTGGTCACGATATTTAACTTTTGGGAAATTGGTTAGAATAACGTCTCAAGGTGATGGGAAATCTTGCGGCGTCGGGGTATTTTAAATAAATTTATTTTCTTACTTTCCTGCGCACATTCCTGACGAATTGTGATGCGGGCGTGGATTGTTTGCACGATTAGTGTCAGCTTGTCCAGCGAGGGAGACTTTACATAAGATGGGGTTTATTTTTTTTTTAAACTAGCAATCCGAGTGAATTATCAACTGTTTGTTGCAAGCTGATATCATGTCATGAACAAGTTTGGCACATCCGCATCTCTTACCTGCAAAATACTTTTTTTTCATTTGTTTGTACCCGTGTTTAATTTGTATTTTACCCTTCATTTTTTTTTATGATCATCGAGATACGCTTATTCCCTGCACTCACGGTTAGACGCCTGCAGATAAGATTCTACTTCAAGGACTTAGTCAAAATCAGAGAACATTTGCAGTGGATTGCATCCACGATACTGGGGTGTGTTATTTGCGATTGCGTATGAATAATTCTTGAATCGTTCGAGAAGGCACCTTGTTAGGTCTTATACCAATTGAGGTGAAAAGTAAAATCATCATTTTTATACATAAACCACTTTCTTGGTTTGTAAGGCGTTACCTATAACAGATGTTCTTCTGCGAGAAAATTTTGATCATTTTTTAATAAACTTCGAGTAGCGCAGCATTTAATTGTGTTTTTCAATAATAACAAGAAAACATTCAATTAATACTATGCCATTCGATTAATATGATATCTGGGAACAGGTTCACTAGTGTATTATCAGTTATTCTATCTTACTATATTTCGTTAGCTTGTGGCCTGTTTCTAGGCTTAACTATATTTTTGTTTGCGATTTCGGTACTTTGATGGAATTTGTATTTGTGAAAAATTTCATTATCAAGCTCCTTCTTGCATTGTTGTTGATGGCAATTGCATGTCAGCTGAATGAGCTGACTCTAATGTCGTTATTTTGTGTACCAAGAAACGTTTAGTCTTAAATTATTCATATCATAAATTCACTTTGATGCAAAATGAACGTCATTAAATATTACAAACTAACTCGCTTCATATACTATTCTAAGACGTACCGGTATATAATGATTAACTTTGTGAGAGTCTTTTTAAATTGCTCGGTATTTGGTTGTGTATGTCTTGATTCTTTATTTGACGATATTCATTTCTTTTGACGAACAAGCTTTCTACTATCCTGACCGAGATATACAAGTAAGATTAGGTCCTATTATTGTCACATGTTTTCGCGAATTTGTAATCTGACATCTTTCTAATGAAAAAATTATGAATTTGCTTTAAATTTCATCCAACATGACAATTTATTGTTGAATATTTCAACTACATTTTTGTAAACATCTACCGAAAATGTTTTGTTTGTGATATGCCAATTTATCGGTAAAAATTATTCCTGTCACTGCAAGTGACTACCTATTTTCTAGAGTTAATTCGGCCATATTATTACTTTTTAATTCATAACAGCTATTTCCCACGTGAGCCTCGAAATTAATAAGGCAGAAAGTCTTTCAAAGGCATCAGCACGGCGTTCTCTGCCTCCAGGGCCCGAGAACGAGAAAAAATCCTGCCAATAATAGACTTGTAAAATTATGGAGCTTCGAGTCGTATTTCGCACACGTGTCAACCCGCAGCTGGTGATGTTGTTTGTTATTTGTTACATGACGGTAAATATTTCCCTGTACCTGATTCTCAATTACAAAGATTTTAGAAACAACGGAAATTGCTGAAATGCAATTTATTATTGAAAATGCGACTTATTGAATTGAAATGTAGCTTATTGTATATGAACGTTCATTTTTAGTGTGATGGTATATCAGATTATTTATCAATTACTGCCTTCACTTCAGAAGTGTCGCCGGCCTTTGTTACCTATGATATATAATATTTCTTATCAAATATATTCTCGTGGACAGACCAGCTGTGTATGTAAATGCTCAGTACGGAAAAATTCCTCGCCCGCATAGCAGTCATGTACAAGTGAAGTATAAATATGTGTGCCTGGGCGGGTTGATGGCGCAGGGTTCAAGGCTGTGTCGTCATAGGGCAGGGATGCTCGCGAGAGGGAAAGTCTCATGAACATGCGTGTTCCTCTAGGAGTCCTGTGAACTGTAGGTCCCTTCCCGCACGGTTTTATTCCATTTATTAACTATTATTATTATTATATTATATTATAATAATAATACTATATTACTATTATTATTTTATTCCATTTATTAACTAGTCTTATTAACTATTGTTTTCTTTGTTTGACTAATTTCATGTTGATTATTCCATTCCATTTATAATCGTCGTATTTACTGTGGTTGTCAGTGTTTGACTAATTCCATATTGATTTAGCATTCCATGTTTGATTTAGTTCAAACAATCTTTTGAGCGAATTGGTCCATCAAACGACGCATCGAAAATAATCTCTATCCTTGCTGAAGTCATCGTCTGGCAACACACAAAGGAAATAGTTTGTCACGCTCATATATTACTGTATAAATGTCACGCATATCTAGCCGTCGTATTTTGTTGCTCGGTCTATTCTTTGATCGTTCGATGTCGTCGCTGCAATCTCCATTCTTTGTGTGAAACGACAACAAGTTTGGACGTTTGTCGCGGCTGCTTGCCGATTTGTCCAACGCTTTTTCCACTTCACGATGACACGCCGCGTTTTTTGTTTTCGATTACTTGAATTTTTACCTCTTCTCTTAAGAAATCATTGCTGCAACTTGCCCTTTGCAGCTGGAAATATTAGATTTTTCTCTTGGTTCTTGGTAGAGGACGAGGTCACTTACAGGTCTTGGCCTCTGAGTATGTCTTTTGTCTGTCTTTCTTGACATCAGTCGTCGCGTCGACCCACTTAGTTTATCTGTCCTGTTGTGGTTGAAGGAGAAACTAGGCATATTATTTCTTATCTTGCCTGTGCCCAAACCTTTGATACTGTATTTAAAACGAATCTGCATTTCGATCTATGAAATTCAACACTTTTTTGCCAATTTATTATATGATCACAATAAAAAAATATTACTTTAGGCTACTCATTGTTCAAACCAAAATATATTTTGTATGAATCGGCATTTTCAATCAATGTAACACAGGAATTTCATAATTCTTTTTCATCGTAATCTTTCTATTACATATTTAATGTGGTGAGTCTTCACATTCGTGTTTTAGAGGTTAAGGATAACGTCGCCGCCGAGATCGATATCTCCTTTCATTAGATTTCATTACGTCTTTTCGGGTCTCATTGGAGTTTAATTAGGCGGTGCTCGGCGAGTTTGGAGTGGCTTGAAGGACCCAATCAAGGAGTCGAAACAAATACGAAACTCTAAAGTAAATCCGGACCAGGAATCTTATTGTCTTGCCTGATTTTGACGCTGCTCCTTTGTCACATTTTGAGAAGACAAGTCTTGCCAGTGAAGAGTTTTGAGGTGTTCAATTGACGCTGGAAGACAAGACTTTACAATCGGCGCGCAGTTGGCTCAGGAGTTTTCGAAGTTGCTTTAACAAAAGAAATCGAGAGAAGTGATTTCGACAGAACTGTTGTAAATTTTCTACCCCATAGATCAGTTAAAGGGATATTTACATCAGAAAATAAGTAAGAAAAATGGAATCAATTGAGAATTAGGAATGATTGTAACTAAGATTTACGTGTCGATCTTGCCAAAAAATATATACCACGACAACGTCCATTCCTTTCCATCCAAACAAATTAAATAGTTAGGTAATGAGTCGAATTATTATCAGGCCTAGGCTGAATAATTGTGATGAACTTACGCAGTGCTGTGAGCCTGTGTGTGTTTGATACGGCTTAATTCAGGTTCCACTGCTCATCACAATATTATCATTACTAGAGGAACATTAAGGATTAACAAATAATTTTCTCGCTTGCCTAATGATTTAGACTCGTATAATTAGTAGTATGCTACGTATATACAATCCTAATTTCTTAGGTAGCTGATAAAGCATTATTAGATTATATTCTAAACTTTTCAACTAACGTTATCTTATTACTCTCGTGCAGAGCGTCCACGGTACCGCACCACGTACGCATGCGAGGGCTCAACCCTGAACATGGACTGTGAAGCTGGCCACGTCATCAACCTGATCCGTGCAAACTACGGTCGCTTCTCCATCACCATCTGCAACGAGCACGGCAATACCGAGTGGTCTGTCAACTGCATGAGTCGCCGCTCACACCGCGTTCTGCATGACAAGTAAGCCTTCTATAATATTCTTCTACGTTAAATATATCCAAGTATAATTTGTATAATTAAATAATTCGTTCACGTATTGTCCAAAAATGTGGGCAGTCGGATTGGATTGGCTCTATAAATATTGTTCGAACGCGGGGTTGACATGCACAATGCATGTTCGAAGCATTCTTTGATTTTTGATGGTTTTTCTAACTGCGTTGCAAAGAAGATATATTTGGTTAGCATATTACTCGTTCAAGTTCCCGGTTTTTTAATGCATATACACGATTCCGAAGTGTTGTACTGAGCACATGCCGCTGTTCTTCGTCTTTTAAGCACGTCCTCAAAGCCAATGAAGCACGCAACCGAACTCTAATTCTTAGCCACAGAGAAATTATTAAAGTGATTCTTGAATTATTAATTGATGTCCTTCCAACTTGTTTTCTTCATTTTTTATTGTCATACTACATAATTTAGCGATGAAACCATTAACTTGCGTATCAGCTGAGCCACTGAAGCCGTATCAGCTAAGCCACTGAATTATTTTAGTGACTTATCGTCATTATTTCGGCGATTGACTTCGGCGGGTAGCATGTGTTTGCCCGGGTAGCATGTTTTGCTTTCCTATGGGTTTTTTGCCTCCTAATGGGGTATAAATCAGTTGGTAATTCCATGTGGGAAGGCTGTGTGTATAACCTTTAACCCTTATACCGCTTTATGTCACTCTCCGGGAACATATCTTTCGGCTTAAATTATACGTAAACTATTTAGTCTACGTAGCAAACTGAGCACGTTTGTACGCAACAGAGAACATTTTAAAGTTGTACGTGGCGGCAACCATCAGTGCAAGTCATTTTGTGCTCACTAGAACGTATCCTTTTTGGGGGAGTAGGCTCGCGACAATATTGCTCAAGTTACTCATGTCAGGCGGTAGAGGGTTAATGATAATTTCAAAAATAATTTATAGAAATGACATAACGAAAAAACAAATTGATCCTAATGGCTGTCAGTGCGTTCATTATATAGATGCTAAGTGACACGACACTAGTTCCTCTGCATGCTTGCAGATCTCGCTCAGTGCTTGACAAGCTGATGGGGATTCAACCGTTTATATGCTTCTTAATGTATAATTATGATGGTGTAGGTAGTTTGTGCAATTGTGGTCGCACCGTTAAATTAAAGACCAATTTTTGGTCTCACTCCATAAATTTTACATCAGTTACTGCCTATAGACATTACGCTTTGCTATAGATCTCTATATATTGCATGACAAAGGTGATCGAATCAAATCATCAAAGGTGATCGAAAGCTATTGATTTTGATAATATAAGTGGCGTTTTCTCGCATTATTCTACAAAGATTCTCTCGGACGTCTCGAATTCGAATGTCAGAATGGGCTTTTCCTGTTCAGGAATATTTTAAGTCCCAGTATATAAGCGCATTTTCTGCAGAAATTATTCGGTAAATTATTACTTAACTAAAGCTACAACGGAAAGGACTTTTTACCAGTTAGCTGAAAACGCTGAATTATTTTATCATCGACTAACTTTAATATACGTCGAGATCTTTGTTCGAATCTATTACCTTCAGTGAATTATTCGGTGCAAATCGAGCCTATACTTCTGGCATTGTGAATTCTTCATAGTCCCGTTCTTCATACGTATAAAACCTGAACTTTGCGACTCAGTTTAAATTTTAAAAATATTTCGAGTTTTCGGTATTACTTTTCACTGCACGAGTCTTCAGAATGGCATGAATTTTTAGTTCACAAGTATCCATCAGCCAAAGACATGCACTTAGTAATACGGTGTATTATTTAGTGCAGTTGCACCTATAGTCCTGTGCATGTAGTTGAAGTTATTTATAAAAACGTCCATCGATCGCGGTACGCCATTCTTTTGAACTGCTGTGTGTTTTCGTTCGCTCGATCTCGTTCTTAGCAGTTCTGAATTTGCAATGCCTGAAGTCCGCACACTTAGCACCTCAGGTGCAAATAAAACTTGTGCGAATCGATTCGTCGCAACAAAAGGCGCGAGGAACATAATATTTGATCACCACTGAAATGAATATCTTCTATCTCGAAAGGATAAAAAATTTCCTTTTGTTCTCGAAAGTTGCGACTCTAAATATTCATGGAGAAATAAAAAATGAATGAATAAAATATATTCATAAAATAAATATCCCTTGTAAATATATTTAATGATTATATTCAACAATTTGTATCTTTTATTTATTCGCGGTTCAAACTAATTTGAATATTTCATGGTGACTGTACTCTACTTAAATTACCCTATGAAGCACTATCGAAAATATATATCAATGTGTTTCAGTTCAGGTTTTCTCTAAGCCGCGGCTGCTGGAATCCATTAGCGCCGCAGCCCATGGCTTTGTTTTGCAAGGCTCGAATTTGCGTTCATGCACATCATCTCACAGACGCGCATCATCCGTCTTACCAGCCCTAAGATGAATAACCTGCTTCCTTCATTAATATTTCAGCGCTGCCTGACACCAGACTTTCTTGCCTTTATGTGTGCAGGCGTCTGCATCCCGCGCGCTAAATTGCAGCGCGCCAGCGTAAATCTGTACATGTTCGCAGCAGGGTTACTTAATTTATGAGTTGGGATATCGTGAGTGAAGTCTTGAGATAGTGTGAGTGAAGTATTGAGGCACTGGAAATATCGAATGTATATTGAGTAATGGTTTGATACAGCAAAAGGGTAGTCGTGAGGTAGCGTCAGATCAAAGGGTTATATGTGAAGGGTTATATGTAGTTAATGGAATCGTAGCGATTTCTGGAGTCATTTCACTAGTATTCTTCGAGTCATTGCCTTCAATAAAGAAATACTTCGGTCGTTTGGCGAGTTTTTATGTATAAGGATCATGATACAGAAGGACTTGGTTGGCGCTAGACTTCTTGCATTGATCGTGCACAATGCGAAAATAAGTTGCTCCCTGAAGCGCGCAACATAGCTATTAAACCTTTTTTTAAGGGAATAACACGTTTAGTACACGAGAATAAGTAAATTCCATGCCCTGGAGTTTATTTTATGTATGATATAATTTCGATTTTCCGTCAACTTTCTTACGTAGATATGTACAACATTAACATTAAGGAAGACAGGTTGTTAATGCCACATATATACTGTGCTTTTATTAGTATGGCTTTAACTGCATTTAGTCCCTTTGTAACATGCCATGTCATTAGCCACGTCGAATTTTCTATTTCGATAACCAGCACACGTTGAGCGTTTTTTCATTAATTCAGAGTTTGCCTAATTACATGTGCTCGCTCAGCCTAACTGTAGTGAAAATAAACAATGTTTTCACATAACTAGTAACAGATCCGGTATCGTTGACCCCATCATTTATTACTGAACTTCACTTTTCGAGCTTTGTCAATGGAACAGTTAATGTTACAGGATTGCAATTCGAACATTGTTCGCTTTTATTGTTGAAATGAAAGAAGCATTTGGACTTGAAGCATCACAAAGCCGTGAAGTAAAACCCTGCAGTCGTTGACTTTCTCGTCATTAAAAGACCAACGCTGCCTTCCGCCCACCGCCTAAAGTCACAATGGCTTTTTTCTACGTACGTGCCGGGTCCGATAAATCACTACATTTTAATTGTCGCCCTTGATCGTTGAAAAAATAGGTCTCGGCGGTGTTTGAAAGGACATTTGGGAATAATACTTGACAGGTTTGTGGTTAATTTGTGCGATCGAGAAACAGAGAGCTTGTTAAAATCATTTTTTTTATTGTAGCATTTGTGCAGCTAAAGAAAGATATAGTTGTGATTACCTACATTAGATATACCATATCACCTGCTTTTAAGCTTTCTGTGAATTGAATCTTCTCGGATTTCTTAAATTCACTTAATTTGTCTGGTAAAGATCTTTATATTTGCCACACTCTCCAATAAATCCAGAATTGCTTCGAATGAATTTTCACGGTGCTGGTCATGGATGCTAGTATTTTAACTTGAATTTTATTGCAATTCAAAACGATTATTTGATCCACTTGCTGACGTTGATCCGTGCACTAAGCGAACGGCCTCTATATACCCACGCTGTATCCACAATTCGCTGAACATCCATACGTGAACGCGTACGTAGAATTTTCCGACACATCATCGTTAGTAAAATGCTCACTTTGGAGTTCTCGGTTCTGTATGTGTACGGCTTAGATTTATTCATTTCATTCATTTCTAATGAGTAATTTTTTCATAATTACTGTACTCTCTGATAATGTTTCACAATCTCGTGTATTATTTTTGCCAATATTTTGCATCCCCTCTTATATTTCTGTGTAATATACATCATTGGCTCCACGAACCGAAGTCATAAGTAGCATGAGCTCCGTGAAAAATGGGTAGAAGTTCCGTGCTCAGTCAACGTGTTATGAAATAAGATCGAGCAGCGATAATTTTTCCTCTGTGGGTGGCTACAGTTTAGAAAACCAGTCCCAGCTAGCCGGCTTGGCCATACTAATCCTCACTCGGTTGATGGACTTCCCGGGTACGCACCAAAATCCTTGCTCGCAGGTTTCGCGCTTGTCAAAGCATTCGAGGACAAATCCCTGACCTACTCTCAGAAGAATGAGGCAGACTTTGTCCATGTATGAGTGAGACTTTGTCCATGTATGAGTGAGACTTTGTCCATGTAGCGATGCACTTTTAGCTCGTGTATGTGCCAAATTTTCCCGGCTTGGCCTAGAGTAATCAAAAGGGCGTATCAGTGCTACGAGCAGAAAGTGTCACTTTTTGGTCAACATAGTCCATTAAATTGTTCGAGCGACTAACCGGTTTAGGTTTGCTCGAATTGCTAATGCTGCGGGCCGAATTAGTAATTCCTCTTTGAGCTTACTTAACAAATACGTTCTTTCTTTTGTTCACTCTTCGCATGAAATTTTAATTTTGTTGGTTATCGACTTGCTAAAAAATTGTATATCGTTCGTATTGCTGTTGTTGTAGAAAATAAAATTCCGTGTCTATGTCGAATTCTGACCAAATGATAAGATTTCATTATGAATCTGCGGTTGAAAAATTGTCACGATTGAATAGAGTTTTAAGCTCTTTTCCTGGAGTTTTGGGTTGGATTACTTGAAATGTGTAGTCATTTTGAGATTATTATAATTTCAGTGATAATTTCAGCGTTATTTTCTATGACGATTATAAAATAATTACACTATTATTTCATTCTCAGTTTTAGTTCACCTAAACCGCGTTGACACGCTGTAGGCTTAGTCTGCTCTGATTATCTGAACGTCGCTTAGTAGGGCGATTCCAAATTCCTCCATATTTATTTGAGACTCTTTGTAAAACCGTTCCCCGTGTCGACCTTATTTTATTTCTTCTAGTCTAGCGGGCTTTCTCTTATTCGTATCATGTTCCGCTAGGTCAGCATTTTCCAGATATTTGGGTACTGTTTGCCTTCTCGCCTGCCGATCTGTGGGGCGTATGAGGAAGAACTTTCAAAAATTTAAAAAAAGTACATGAGTGTAAATCTGTCTGTGTGTGCAGTAATTCATCATGAAATGGATTTAATATGTGGAACTTTTTCGATTCATACAAATTTTCTATTTTCGACATAATTGTTTTTAAACTATTTGTTATGCTGTATCAATTATTTTTATGGGTAATTTCTAATAATTTATTATCACGGAACCCTCGTATTTCTTTATCTTTTTAATTACAATTTTTAATATTAAAAATTCATTCACCATGTTGTCTGCTGTTATTGATCCTAGTTTACCCACCCAGTTAATTGTTTTCTAAGTTGGAACTCTCTTATCTAAATCTGATTTCTACCACAGCAAGGTTTCCGCCGGTCCTCGTCTGTATCATTTGACGGCGCTCAACGAGTGTCTGGCTTTGTTCTAGTCCCTCGGTGGGCAATTCTTAGTCTGATTGTCGCTACGGAAAGCCTCTAATATGGTGGCGGCGTCTGAAAAAATGCCTCTTGTAAAGTCAAATTGGCCCCTGCGGCTGATTCCTGCGCGTTCTTAACGCAAATTTCATTTAAACGCTGCAACTCTTTTGCTTTTCTTGCGATGTGCTCTGCCGTTTGACTTTCATGTTCTCCGCTTGGCGCCGTATACATACATTTGGACGCGAGTCTTGTTGCATTTTTTCTTCTCTGAATAAAGATTTGGTGTTCGGGTCTTGTTTTTTTTCTCACTCAAAGAGCTCACGTTGGAAATGAGAGCCTAATATAAACTTTAATTTTCTTCTGGTATAATTTTCTTCGTTGTGTTTCTAAATGAACTTGCTTGAGTCTTATAATTTTCGGCCATGATTGCTAACACGAATAATTTTTGAAGGTTCTGATTTTGTTGACACGTGGGGGATTAATTTGGATCTGATTTAAAAATTTGGTTTTCTAGCCGCTTAAATCCTCTATCAATGAAAATATTGGCTCATTAAGTGATAATTTAAAATTTTATTGAATCTTGTTGTCTTGCAATTCACTACACGTAACATCACTACATTTTGTGTTTTGTGATGTTATTATGTGTATCTTCAAATAATTAACGCGGGATGAAGATTCTATACCTTCGATGTAACTATCATAGCTCATCTTTTTGAACTGCTTTCGTTAAAACATTATTTTTTTATTATATTAAATTCACCAGGTATTTGAAAAACGTCTAGTGCAACATATTTAATCTCATTCTTCTATAAATGTACGATCTTTAAGTAATTTTTTTTGCCAGTTCACAATTTTTTAGCATGTTTGAGTTTAAAGTAAGTTTAAGTATTCAAACTTACGTTTGAATACTCATATTTCACTTTCACTGCTATCTTGAAACTAGTTTTCCACTATTCTCTGTTAATAATTTTACCTACGTGGAACAAATGTTACGTACAAATTTATTTTATCGACAAATTCAGTTACGAAAAACATATTATTTGAACACAAACGCTAAACTCGCCGGCATTAAAATGTTCCTGCTCGAGTTTTTTTTTTCACTTCTATCTCATCGGCTGGACATGAAAAAAGAATGCAGACATGTCTGTCTAAGAGTCCCGTTTGAATATTTTAGTTTACCGCTCCAGGAAGGCCGAGAATTTCGAACAGAAAAAGCACTCGAATATCTTTTATATTGTTCGTCTGAACCGCATTGTATATCTGCCTTCCATGGCAGTTTTATCGGCGGAAGGAAGATGGCCGAATTCTGCTACTATATTCCGGTTAATTTTATTTCACTTCAGATGCATTGCCATATTAATTGGTTTTGAAGTATTTAATCCATAATTGACCTAACTACAAAACCTAGTTCAGCGTGATACTTATTATCTATACGCGTCTCAAATGACGCCCAGTTATTAATTCTAGGAAATTAATGCCAGCAATTTTTGTTGCCGAGTAACTTTATGGAGTATCGAGTACATTTTCACGGACTCTATTCTTCTATTTAATAAAAAGTACAGATCGGCAGACACTCGGTATTTATTATCTCAAATCCTTATGGTTTTTTGCATAAACTAGGTTTTACTCTACATTAACTACTTTTTCCTCGACTGCAGCTCACTCCCTCCTACTTCTCCGTTACAGATGCAGTCAGCGTCAGAACTGCAGCGTCGCGGCTTCGACTCGTGGCTTCGGAGACCCTTGCCCCGGAACTCTGAAATACCTGGAAGCTCAGTTCCAATGTGTGCCTGGTGAGTATTTTGATAAAAATAGTCCAAACGCAGCCACTGACATTCATATTTGAGGCTTAACAAATCAAATTTTTTATGCATGACCTTGTTTGACATGAATAATGCTGAATAAATTTGTCAAGAATCTCAAGTCGGAAGAGACGATAAAGCCTGTCTTGTGTTGGGTCATTAAGTCATGCCTGAAATTTTTTTGACCTTCAGTTTTTCGGATGAAAAAGTTGTACTTATCTATAATGCGGACTCAGTTTTATCGTTGAATTTCAAAGTTCGTCTATGCACGCCTGTCATCTTTTTGAAAAAAATTGTATTTTGTTTTGAAGTAATTTCGATTGACGCTTTCTTGCATCTAAAATCTAAAATTATGCAATTGTCTGTAAGAAATGTTTTTCTTTTCATCCTCTAGCGCTCATTAATTTCTGTTCAGTCCTCACACAACTTTCCACATTATCATCCATGTGTGGCCGACTTAACACACACGCGTTTATAGTGATCCTTTCATGGCTGGAACAAAAGGATCTTCTGTGAGATATTATTGCCTATAAAAGCTTGGCCTGAACATTAACGGTATAATATTGCTTTTTATTTTACCACGGGATTGCCTGGGGGTCGCTGACGCTAATGAAGCGTTCATTCTTGCGCGGTCTTGTCAAAATACGAGGATTAATTTCACCAGAAAACAATATCCGACGGCTAAGATTACTATTTATTCCCGTCGAGTATTTATGCGCACTTATACAAAGCGCTTTATAACAATAATTCCGTATTTTTTGAGAAGTTTTCTTCAATTCATACAACGGGAATCATTATTGTCGTAATTTTGCTTGATTTCATACATATTCGGCTGGATATAAATGTTTAGGTAAACTATTCAACCGCATTATTCATCTGTGTAAATGTGTAAATTAATACCAGATTGCCACTTTTTTTGTTGTACTGAAAAATAGTGATTAATGTAGCAATTCCGGGATGAATCATATACAGAAAATGTTGACTATTGATTGCAAAACAAAACTAATTAATTAACATTACGCAGATGATAGCAATGCCTCACTTCTTTAGATTGAATTCTATAATTTATAGGTTGGAATGACTACTGTTTTCTTTAGTCACGAATTCTCATCATTCTAAGGTTTACATGTACATGGTTGGGAAGTGGAATACTTAGCATAGCATGAAACAACTGGCATGCCTAACTGCACTCTCGCACTGCCTTCCCTGTTCGTCTCTCGAGTTACCAATTATGAAAGGACTGAGCGCTCGCCTTTGTGTCTACAAATATCATACCGCGAGAGCTGTTCTTTTGTTTCCAATGACATCAATACCTCGCTTGTTGGATACCACAGCTTTGTTTCATGATCCTTCATGGAAGACCACGACTCGATTCGATCACGTTTGTTCGATATCGCAAGCCTACGCGATGTTATTACAAATAATCACACAACTTAAGTTACTGTGAGCAATGGATACGGAAATTTTATGCGTTTATCAGTATCACCGAGGTATATTATTTTCATATATAACTTGCATTTTCAAACTGAACTATTGAAAAAATTTGTGTCTGATCTCTTATTTTATATGACTGATTTTAATTATCAGCCATAGACGAACACGACAATTTTAGTGTAACTTCAGAGTGTGCAAGAGATTCTGACGTTGGTCAGAACTATTTAAAAGCTCTGCAATTTGCATGAATAAATGGCAACTTGACATCAAAATTATTTTTCCCCCTACAGTGAATTTACCTCATGGTCGCCCACGTCCCAGTTGGCTTATGGAGGCCCAGAGCACCGTGTCCTCCATCACTGGGGACCAGCCATTACAGCGGCCTCCCCAGGCCCGGGACCGCGGCAACGACGTCGGTGGTTTCGGGCCATCGTCTGATGCTGACGGTTTCGGAGGACTGCCCGATACTGCTGATGCTGATGGCATTTTGGACTCGGAACTTTTGGCTCCTGATGGCGGAGGAAGTTCGTCCTCTACATCGACCACAACAACATTGAAACCACCTCCTTGGTTAAAAACGAATATTACCAAAAACTCGACAACCACCTCTACTACTACCACCACTTCGTCAACCACCTCTACCACGACGACTACAAGTTCACCTCGACCGCCTGCCCCCAACGACACAGATTCATCGTCGGTGGACTCACCGGCGGACGATCGAGGCGGTTCGCCTTCACGCGGTCGTGACGACAGCGGCGCTCCGGCTAAAATCCCCGTCAGTCTCCCTGATCCTCAAGAAGATGTCGAGGGCGACCAAAATCTGGGAGAGGATGAAGTTCGTGAACGAGAGGACCTATTCGAAGAGCAGGATCGACTCTTGGAGAAGGAGATGGGGCACATCTTCCCGCAACATTATCCTCATTCTCCGTACGGCCAAGACCACGTCGATGAAAATCTGCTCTCGCCCGGTGAGTTATAAATTTCAACGAATTGTAGTCTGATTTTATATGTACAGCTTTGAAGAACTCTCACTTATATTATTTTAATATCTTTCAATCGCCGAACTATAGGTATATATTTTGAATTTGTACCCCGCCATTTATATTCGCTCTTTTCCTCTGTCAAAAAGTCCCTTTTTGTGGTTGTGAACGAACCTTTGAGCGAACAAATGTTTTAGCGAAGTTCGCTGTTTATTTACAGATTTGACAAGATTTCAATTATTTTAGTCAGTAGAGCCATCTCATGTTGGTATTTTGAAACATCTTGAAGAATATTCTCAAGTGTCTTCCATAAATGTGGTGTAAGAACGTTCATAACAGAACTAAAAAATCATCGGGGACTTATATTTCCGTTTCCCCTTGTGATCCGGTTGTCACAACAGTTCATTTGGAGCATTCAATTGTGAGATTCCAGGGCAGTTGCCATGACGCCGACGCTTAATAAACCTCGCTCTCTATTGTAGGCGACGAGCTTGCAATTCCTGCATAGCTCAGCATACCCTTAACGCCTGCTCACACCTCCCATGAAATTCCCCTGTCTCACTTCAGACCGAGCGCTATGTGATACTCCAGCTGTTATAGCTACAACTATAATTTCAACCCTTGTGGTAGCTTTCAATGCTAGTACTTATCTTACAACTTTTTCGATAGGTAATAATATACCTCAGTTTTAGTGGTTACTCGTTCTGAGTCAGCTTGTGATATTCATTCCGCTGTTTTAGCTGTTATATCGTGGCCATTGCCAGTGAGATCGGCTGTTTTGCTGCAACTGCCATTGCTCCTCTGTTATAACTTCTACTTCTGATAGTGATGGTTTTGCTTATTTTTAACGTCAATCACAGATCACTGTAGTTCTGACGCTATTTCATTATCCGTTAGCACGCATTATCTAAGATCAAATTGTAATCGGCAGCTCATTTCTAGCTTTGGATTTTGAGCTTTATGAGACATAGGAGATAACTCTTGCCTTCCGAGGGCTCTACTGCGTTATTTCTTGTGTTGGCTGCTCCTTCATTAAGCACTAACTTTTGGCTGCTCCTTCCTAAAATCAATTGTTTTCATTTTGTGCTCGTCTTAAACTTTTTATCAAGTATAAGCGGTTATTTTTACTTTTCGCTCTCTGACGATATCGTGATTCTAAAATGTTCAACGATTCGTGAACAAATATACCGGAAATTATATTCAATCAATAAGTTACTCCCACATTGAACCACCGGTGGAGATTGAACCTACTATCATGTAATGCTATTGTTAATTTCACTAACGACAAGCATTTCAGTTACTGAGTTAGAGGAAAAAATTCACATTTCAAAATAATCAAGCTCTATTTCCGAGTTAGAATTTATCTCTACCAGCACACATACAAATGTCAAGAGAAAAATTTCATGAGAAGATGGCTCACTTATATAAATGATTTCGGAGTTTTAACACTTGTATCATTCTGATTTATTACAATTTCTCCGGTATTCCTTGAGTTTCAAAGCTATCTTAATTCCCTATTATTACCTTTCACTTTTTCCCATTCGCACAGGTTGGCGGCCCCGGGAGTCCTGGTGCGGGCCGTCGTCTGGACGAGGCTTGCTCTGGAACTGGACTCGAGCAGGCGAGAAGGCGATCCAGGCGTGTCCAGGCGGTGCCTCTGGATGGGCCAGGCGAGACTGCTACCCTGGCGGCTGGGCCTCACGTGCGGATCTGGGCGAATGCCGCAGCGTGTGGCTGAGTACCCTCACTGCTCGTGCCCAGGGCACGGACTCAGTTTTGGCTGTGGTGCATGACTTGTCGGCGGTGACCGCGGTGCGCGCGCTATACGGAGGAGACGTTACTGCTGCCGCTCGACTCCTGTCGTCTCTTGCTAAGCGCATGGCCACAAGCTTGTCCCACTTCCCCGACACGTCGCAAAGGGAGGCGTTATTGTCTGAGCTTCTGTCGGCGACGCTGGCCTCGGCATCTCATCTTATCGGTTCTCAGGAAGACGCTTGGGGCGATCTACAGCCAGACGAACATAGAGCCGCTGTCACCGCTCTGCTCCTAGGACTTGAACAAGCGGCCTTTCTGCTCGCCGACAATCTCCGCCAGCAGAAGGTCGTGGTTGACTCCTATCCCAATATACGTGAGTATCTTGTTTAATACAGAGTTTTTTTGAATATTTTGAATACACAATTATATTTTAGCCGCTGGGATTAATAATCGGTAAAGCATTTCTTGAAAGAATCAACAACTAGATTTTTTCGAACTGTGTTTTTTACGAGTAGTATTTTCACTATTAAATGAATATCGTCTAACTATTAACTATCATTAATTTTAACATGTATATAAAGTGGTATTTTTTGGTACATATTAAGGTTACCTTAAAATTATGTACTGTGATATTCTGGCGCTCTTTTCGAGGCTACAAATGCAACCGAACTGCCCATCGCTGTCAAAGATAACGCAAAGAATAAAACTCTAAATGGCTTCTCAATTGTGGAAAATACTATTAGACCATAAGTCACTCTATGAGACCAGCCTTGAACGAGATGTACGGAAAGCAATAGTACAACTCCTGTCCGACAGCAGCCTCAGTGAGGAGCTTGACAAAGCTCAACAAAGCGCCGGCGCTTGTCTTTAAATGCCCTGTATTAATTCCTTGGAGTATATTGTGTGGCCGCTTGTACCTTCTTGTCGCACATTCCCGTGCTAACGACTCCGTGCTCAGACGCGCTGCTGCTCTCAAGGAGAACTCAGGAAGACAATGATGGCTCTTTCTCACTTTGGAAGTTTTCTTCAGTTTCTGTGATTTCTCCTGATGCTGAAAACACTTGGTCTATTTTCAATAATTCATTTTTCAGAGGCAATCAAATATTTATTTTACTCACGCTCGAGTTTTTAAACGTGGATAAATTCCACGTGATATTTTATGTTCGATTGGTTCATGCCTATTACTGCATACGTGTATATTTATAATGTTCACACATAAAACATTCTATTAGTTTTCCAGCAAATTTCCGAGCGACCATGTATATACTGAAGAAATGCCTGCGCACTATGGCAAACACTCGTCTATATTAAATATCAAACAAAATATCAAAATAACTATAACCACGCATGATGCGCGCATGTTATCCCTTCTCCAAAACGCAGCAGCACGAATGTTGTTCAGCAGCCCAATGCCGTCAGTTTAGTTGTCACTCAGAAAGAGAAAATTCCCAACCGACTGTCCAGAGCTCCAGTGTACTGCTTTGGTCTGCGTTTCAAATTTTACTCGAGCGTAGCCTAATTACAATTCCGTAATGACGGACAGTTCTCCTGACAGTAAATTTGCGTTCGCTGATGAACAATTTGGTCGTTTTGAAGCCTGCCTGATTGGAGTGTTGTTGTTCATGATGAAGGACAGCATGGAACATGACTAAGTCAAGCACTAACGTGCTTCTCTGCGCTCACATCTCATTAGCCAATGTGATTGGATATTAGCACACAGTTATCCACACACAACACTCATTTTGGGCGAGTGCTTTTCCTGTGTGTTGGTTACAACGTGAATGCCGTGATGATTTTAATGTTTTTTTTTTTTAATTTTATTGTTCTTAAAAATTGTAATTTGCTTAATGTTAATGTTTTTCTGTTCGTAAATAGTTAAAATTTAAACCGAATTATGTTTATTTTGAGTATTTACTCTATTGCACTAACAAGATGGTTACTTTGGGAACTCTGCGTAAATTAGCCATTAGTGTTATGTCATGGTATTATTAAGCACATTTAATTATCACATTTACTTTATATTTGTGCAGTGATGAGACTTCAAGTGCTGGAGACTCGAAACGTGGCCTACCCTGTGACATTCCCATCCATGGATGAAGTATGGCAGGTCCCCACTCCCCAACCCGGTCCCCCATCCCCATCAAACCCTTCCATACCTCCACTAGGGGAACCCGCTGTCTCTTCCGTCATTCTTAACCCCTCATCCTCTGCTCCTTACGAAGGATCTTCATCCCCTAACCTCGGAGATCGTGCCATAGGTCCTCCTTCCTACGACTCAATAACTTTGCCACCTGAAGCGCTGCTCGAAAATTCTGAAAATCGGCTCATCAAGATGGTTTTCTTCAGCTATCGAGGCCTCGAGAAGCTGCTGCAGCCCACCTACTCCTACTCCCACGATCCTGCATTCAAGGTGCGACGTCCGTTAAAGTGTAAAAAATTATATCAGTACTCACTGCAGTGAGTGATAGAGAGCGCATTTTCTCGTCCGTCTGTGAAGTCACGGACAGAAAGACATGACGAGCACAATAGCGCCTTTTCTTCCAGCAATTGAGAAAATGCGCTGAAAAGAAACGATGATGAAATATCTCGTATTTCTGTATGATAAAACCTATGCCTAAGCCACTGAATGTCATTTTTATTCATTCCATTCTCCATATTTGTTTATTATGATGTTGAATTTGGTCTTTTATTGTATTAGTTAGTTAAATTATCAAAAATTTCAAAATCAATCATTATGTAGTTTTTTTATTGGATGCTTGACATATAGTTTGATGGTAATACAATGCTGGTAGATATTAAAATAAAATCGTGATTATCATTTATACATGCAATTCTATAAATAATCACTTTCGGTCTACTTTCACTTCCAGTTGAAATTCCCAATGTAAATTTTTTTTAATAACAACGCGTATTTCTGTTCGTTTTATTTGCTCCTTAGTCCTCTCAGCTTCCGTATGCAAATTGACCAAAGTGCCATCTTTGCTAAGTTTCTCGCTATTAAACCAAGCATTTTCTCATTCCGCGTTTAGCTTCCCAATCGAACGCGACTGCTCAACTCCCGCGTTCTCGCGGCCTCGTTGGGCTCCGGACGCCACATTGAACTCACGGAGCCCGTGGTGGTGACGTTCGCGTTACTCTCCACCGAGAACGTCACCAACGCGTCCTGCGTCTTCTGGGACTACACCACTAAGTGAGTACCTCCTCATTATATTTGGGATTGATGTCATCATTGGTAATAAGTTATTAAAGACAACACATCATTTATTTGGATTGTATTGTAAGAGTTTGTATTTCAGTTTGGTTTTTTAACTCTTAGTTTACAATTACATTTTTTCCAACTCTTATTTTACAATTCTGCAATTATAAGCGTTGAAAAAGAATAAAAATCTTAAAATCCAGTGTTTTTCGGTAATTACAGGCACATTTTAAACTGCGTTTGTCTTGTCATTTTTCCGTTTCTACCACCTGAAGCGCTGCTCGAAAATTCTGAAAATCGGCTCATCAAGATGGTTTTCTTCAGCTATCGAGGCCTCGAGAAGCTGCTGCAGCCCACCTATTCTTACTCACATGATCCTGCATTCAAGGTAGGGCGTCCGTTAAAGTGTAAAAAATTATATCAGTACTCACTGCAGTGAGTGATAGAGAGCGCATTTTCTCGTCCGTCTGTGAAGTCACGGACAGAAAGACATGACGAGCACAATAGCGCCTTTTCTTCCAGCAATTGAGAAAATGCGCTGAAAAGAAACGATGATGAAATATCTCGTATTTCTGTATGATAAAACCTATGCCTAAGCCGCTGAATATAATTTTCATTCATTCCATTCTCCATATTTGTTTATTATGATGTTGAATTTGGTCTTTTATTGTATTAGTTAGTTAAATTATCAAAAATTTCAAAATCAATCATTATGTAGTTTTTTTATTGGATGCTTGACATATAGTTTGATGGTAATACAATGCTGGTAGATATTAAAATCGTGATTATCATTTATACCTGCAATTCTATAAATCATCACTTTCGGTCTACTTTCACTTCCAGTTGAAATTCCCAATGTAAATTTTTTTTAATAACAACGCGTATTTCTGTTCGTTTTATTTGCTCCTTAGTCCTCTCAGCTTCCGTATGCAAATTGACCAAAGTGCCATCTTTGCTAAGTTTCTCGCTATTAAACCAAGCATTTTCTCATTCCGCGTTTAGCTTCCCAATCGAACGCGACTGCTCAACTCTCGCGTTCTCGCGGCCTCGTTGGGCTCCGGACGTCACATTGAACTCACGGAGCCCGTGGTGGTGACGTTCGCGTTACTCTCCACCGAGAACGTCACCAACGCGTCCTGCGTCTTCTGGGACTACACCACTAAGTGAGTACCTCCTCATTATATTTGGGATTGATGTCATCATTGGTAATAAGTTATTAAAGACAACACATCATTTATTTGGATTGTATTGTAAGAGTTTGTATTTCAGTTTGGTTTTTTAACTCTTAGTTTACAATTACATTTTTTCCAACTCTTATTTTACAATTCTGCAATTATAAGCGTTGAAAAAGAATAAAAATCTTAAAATCCAGTGTTTTTCGGTAATTACAGGCACATTTGAAACTACGTTTGTCTTGTCATTTTTCCGTTTCTCTCGCAGAAATAACTATGAAAAACTGACATCTTTGATCTTGAAGTTCTGCTTGTCTCAATGAAAATTTTTGCGCAATGTAAAGTTTCACTTAAAAATGGGCTACCTTTACCTTATTTCTTCCCCTTATTTTAGTGAAATTATTTCGTCGCAAAAGTAAATATATTTTGAACTTTTCGTAAATCAATGTGCCAAATGTAAAAAGAAAAAATGATAAAACATCATGTGATATTTTAAGAAGATATTATTAGTTTAAGAAAATATTACATGACTTCTGTGGGTCATATCAAAAAATGAGTAATCATTCACAATTTTGCCTTTGATTTGAAACATAAAATTCTCAAAATTGCATTCGTAAAGTTGAAAAAGTACTGGATTGAACCCACATTGCTAGTCGCGCAGTACTAAGTACTGGATTGGCGGCAATAGAACTTGAATCGGGATGAAAATTCTCGAGAGTAACTTAGCCCGTCTCGATTTTTAGGCAGAAGAAAACATATACTTGGAAGTTTTCGTAATTCAATGTGATGAAAATTCTCGAGAGCAACTTAGCCCGCATTCCTCCTGCCGCTTACGGAATCTCTTGCATCACAAGAAGCTATTGTATGTAAGTGCGCGTATTGAGCGTCACTGTATGTGACCAATGCTCCGTCCCTCCTCTCATGGGAGTCATTGACGGGCTATGGGTGGAAGGGTCCTTCGTGTGGCCGGTGGCCGGCTGTCTGTGATCCAGTCACGGTATCTTCAATAAGGTATCTAGGTATCTTCAATAAGGTTTCAATAAAGTATCTAGGGCATCTCGCCGCACCGCGCGACTGATGCTAACTCTTCAGCGCCTGGAACGCTGGGTTATCCTGGCATTGCACTCGGTTAATGTCGAGTTCACCGACACGCATCCCATGTTTATAGCCTTTATTAGGGATCGCGCCAATGAACGAGCAATATTTGTCGGTATTATTTGGGAGGAAACTTCCCTCAAGTACATTTACAAACGGCATCGCTGGCGTCTGTGAATTATTTATACGCTTTGCTGGCATCGAGCCATGCGTGATTCGAGTATTACGTAAGTGAAAGATTCGTGTGTTGTAGCAGAAGGTTTTTTCTTTCATTTTAACACATTTTTAATTTTCAGTGTTTTTCAATGTAAAAAAATGTGTGATAAGCATGCTCGTAGATATAGCTAGGTGTTTATTTAATTTTTTTTTTTGAGAGAACTCGAATGATGTGTATTTTTGTACGAATGTATCGAATAAAGCGCTATTGTCAGGTTTACTAGGTATATTTACAGTGTTAATGTCAACATTACATCCTATTGATCAATATTTTAACTAATGTGTTTCCTAGAACGACAATGTTTTCTAAATTCCGTAAAGATCAGTAGATAACGTGCTGGAATATTAATGCGTGAACCATAAACAACCTACTCGACTAATCCCGCTAATATTGGCGACATACGGCGCGCGGTCTTGCAAGGTTTGGCAGGCACAGTCGAACAAATTATGCTGCATTCGAATCACCAATGTTTGTGCCCGCTGGGAAATTTGCTCGGTCTCTTTACCTGCTCAATTTGATGCCAAAATAGCGACGATATCTCTGTGGTCTCGCGAGATATGGTTGGCTATTGCAGAGCAATCCTCATGCAGCCTCGGTCATCTTGGTCTGTAAGTCGACAATTTTTTATTTCCGGATAATCTTGTATTTTCCCAGAATTTTGAGAGTCGTGCTGGCAGCTTCTCTGGCATTTCTCCCGTGGTGGCCTTGTGCTAAATGGAATCTTGGTACCTTGGTGGCCTTTAGTTTTGTTTCCTTAATTTGCTTTCTTTGTGTGATGAAAGTTGAAAACGTGTCCTTGGATTATAAAAATATTCCGGTGTTGAACAACAAATTCTCTTGCGCGGAACTAATTTCGCTGCGGACATGTCTCGCTAATCTCGATGATTTTTGAAAACAAATTTCCCGTTATTGTCTATGTTTTATAATTTATTTTTGCGTTACAATAAATAAGTAACTAATGCAAGAGAAATGGCAAGAGACCGACCTCATTCAAATAAAAATTTAATTTCACATCAAAATTGGTTGACGGCGGGAATGGTGTCGGTTTTCCTCACCCAAGATGTTCACGCTCGGATCGCAGCTTCCATGAAGTTAAATTTAAGTTAGAAATCGCCCTCTTTTTGTTGGCTCGAACGAAGATTCGTTCATTAGTGAGAGCGACTGCAGCCGAGCTCGATCTTACCAAATCCCTCTTCGCCGCCACCCGCCTCCATAATTTGAAATTTATGGCCTGAAATCCTGTCTTGAGGGCGGAAACAATTTGATTTCTGCGAAGAATTATTGAACTCCTAAAACTAACGTCCGGCACAATCACCCCTGATTTTCTTTGGCAAGCTGCAGAGCGCTGCTGAGTGACTTGGCTGAGTTCTGCTCTCATGTGCTATGTCCAAAAATTATCTCTTTTTATGCTCTTATTTAAAATGGGAACTTTCTTGTTTGTTTGGATTGCGACACATGTTTGGAATTTTATCTGATATTTTAAGAATGTTTTCTCAAAGCTACGTTAAATGCATTTTAATTAATGGTACACTGCACTCAATGATATACCTCATGGTGCGTGAGCTGCATGTCTTTTATGGGACGCATTAATTTTACCAGCATTTTGCGGTAGCATTTCAGCCTTTGGAATGGGAATATTCCGTGCTCGTGCACCATTAGTGTCACATTCCTGCTCGCAGGCGCCGCATTACCTTAGTGCTGCTCACCGTACGCTCGTTAAACGAAGGTGTTCAGCCGTGCAGAGTTGTGGCTAAGTGGGTTGACTGAGCTGTCGGCGACATCCTGCTCGTGTACTGACTGCCCTGACAGTTGATGGGAGTGTCTGATTTACAGTAAAATGATGTATAGCAACAATTTTACTGTTATTAATATACAATTTTATTACTATGGACTAAAAAGTTATGAACGCTTTGAGACCAAACATAATTGGTGGAACTAGATAATAAATACTAGATTTCGTTTGGTTTTGGCCAAATAATGCGCTGAAATTTCCGCTAAATAAACTTTTTGTGACCTCTCCCGACAAACATGTTCCGTCACGATGTCACACGGTTCCCACGATGTCCGTGTATCTTGATTCGGGATGTTCATAATTTATTTCAATTTTGTCGAGACCATTCAACACTGCATGTTCGTGCGTGTGGCACTGAAACTTAACACTCTAATGCTACGTCATTTGTTATCGAACTCCGTCAATTTGTAATTTCTGTTAACATAACAAAAAATCTAAAGCCACTGCCAGGATTCTTTACTCAGGGAGTTTGCAGCAGACGGTCCGGAGGATCGATGGCAGTTGAGCTGATGTTGCTTTCGAGAGCTGTTTACGTACGTGACTTGCACGTTTTTCCAGAAGCGGTCACATAGGTAAACTTGTCCACAAAAACCTCGCCTCCATTTGGGTGGCCGTCTAATGGCCTACTAAAACCGGCTCGTAATATTTTGGAAAAAAACATGTCACTTCTGCTCTTTTGATGAATTTTGGTGACGAAAACTATCCTAAAGTGAATTTAAAATAATAAACTAGTTCTTAAACTTATGTTTAAGAATAACACTGCCATTGTTATACTTTTTTGACAATTATTAGTCTATTTCAAGAAAAAATCGGCAAGAAAAAAAAACAAATTATACCTTTGCTTTTATATTGCTTAAGAAAACTTATCAAACCGATGACTGCGCTTGAATTCCAAGGACTGGAAGACTTATTCACGGTTTTTGCACTCTACAATGTTCCTCATCCACAAATAAAGTAATGTCAAAACGAAAGACCGATGCAATTAAAAAACTACGTAATTCACTTTTAAAATAACCAGAATTTCAAAATATAACTGAACGTTCAAAGGTCTTCAACATGTATAGTTTTTTGGCCGAAAAAAAAATTAATTTACCGCTAATTTTTTTATTGTGAAATTTATTTACATAGACGTCAGGGTGGCGAATGCAATCACGAATAAAAATTTCACTCTCTGTAACGATAAATTGCGACGAGTCTTCTCATTACCAATAAGTTCGGCTTAATTTCAAGGTAGGAAAAATCGATGCACGATCGTGAAGATTTGGTGTTCTCGGCGTGCAGATCTCAGACTCACGCAGCAGTCAGTGTAGCGGCTTAGCCGGGTACGTAATTTATTGCATAACAAGGCCATAAATCATCCAGAGATGCTCGTTTCTCGGTATCACATCATCACTCTTCGTGAAATCGTTCGTTAATGACGCCGCAGGCTCTTACTTATAAAGCTAGTTTCTTGTTCTCGTTATGCACGATATCGCGCTAACTGCTGCGCGCTGCTAGAAGACTAGAGGTTTTCGCTGGAATTTCCCAATCACATTTCAAAAGAAAGTCTGAAACGGGAAACTATCAATGGTTTTTAGTTGCGGACGTTCATCCGCGCATGACTTTCAAAATTTGTTCTTCGTCGCGCAGTTATAGTCAGAGGCGCTTTGAAATTCGGTATTAAAAATTTCCTTACCGTTTGCACGATGGACTGTTGAGAAAGATTCCTTTAATAAGCCAGGTGCCATTTCCGTCTGATTTTTTTTATTAGTCTCATGATGCGAAAAATTGAATCCAGGAAACGGAGAAGCTTCTTTATAGATTACATCTAACCGGCAATGTTCGTGGATAATCTTAGTGCCATCACCTTGTCCCAAAACTTCGAACGAAGACAAAAATCTTAATAAA